GTCACTATCTTGGCTCTCCCTTTTTACTGTAATTGTTTTGCTGCTCAATTAACACTCTTGCTTATTGTGTTTGTTGTTACATTGTAGACAGAAAAAACACTCCGCATTGGGGGTGTTGGGTTCATCACATGTAATCTGAAATAATCCAGTAATTCTGTCATTTCAAACTCTATTTGTAAACTTTATTACAAGGATAACAAGGAAAAAAACAAAAAGTACCGTTAGAAACACCATTACGTTGTATTTTGTTGCTTATGATGGAAAAACGATTTAATTTCCCCCAATCCCAATTGTTGCACCTAACCATAGTTGAAGTTATGTTACACCTTGTAGTGCGAGAGTGTCTCCTCTGCCTTGAGAGCTGTTTTTCCAGGGATACCTGCTCTGGAAAAGCAGCATGAAAGATGAACAGGTGAATTTAAGTTCTTTGCTTAATAATACAACAGCAACAGTGTCCGTCAACATGTGTGTGTATTAGAAGGGTGTGTATTACATGTATGACACAGCTTTTTTAGTAATATTGTAATATTTGGAGAACATGTAAAAAACAATTTAGGTTACTATCAAGTAAATAGGAAAAACAAGAAGGGCTGCAGGACATTCAGATGCAAGGTGATAAATGAATAGCTCAGCCACTATTGTTTTTGCATTTTTAATTGTACAAAAGATCACGCTGTCTCGACCCAGTTACCACCTAAATAGGAAAGGTGTGCCTTTCACTGTGTTGTCAGCAGAACTCCGACTGTGTTGTACGCCTTTCACTGTGTTGTCAGCACACTCTGACTGTGCTGTATGCCCTCCACCCTTGCTGCACACATACTGCCCTGGGTTTGCCTGAAGGACATCTGACTCCTCTTTGGCGTTTGACCTCTGGTGGCTACTGCCCACAGCCTCGGCATCTTCGGCTCTGGCAGGGATGTTGGAAATAGCGGGACGAGGGACATGCATCCCCCAGATAAATAAAGGGCGTTCCTTATTTTTTATTATGAATCTGCGCTTTACTAGGCCAATTCGCTGCGCACGCAAAGTGCGAGGACAAATACTGTATATACCTATATATAATAAAGATTGTCCTGAATCAGACAAAATCAGTTTATCATAAGAACCAGTTATTTCTCTAGTTATGTTCAGTTGTGAAACCTCACTGTAAACACTGTTAGTCTTATTTTAAATGATGAAATCTTCATTATTTTTAAATGAACAATCTTTCTTACATTGCATCCTTTCATGAAAACTTGGTCCCCCCCTTTTGTCAAACTCCATGCCCCTTCTTGCAGCTGCCACTGTCCTCTGAGTCACATGACATGCTTCCTGATCAGTGCTGTCTTTGTAGGACAACTTAACTTTAAAAACATTTCAAAACATTAAGACATCTCAATGCACTTTCAAAACTGCAATTTTCTCATTTTAGAAATGCGGTTATACGTCACAGAAGGGAAGATTGCATGTTTCTTTTGATCTTGTAAATGGACAGAATGCCAGCTTTTAAACGGTCTGTTAAAACGGGTTTAGTGCGCCGCTACTATAAATTTGGATTAAGGTTTATAAACGTGTACAATGGAAGGCACGCATGGATTATACAGCGGGATTTTGGCAATAAACTTAGGACCTGCCTAAGGCCCGATCGATTTGAATGGTTAATCCTCAGTACTCTCATAAAAGCTATTACAAACTTTCTTTCTATCTTCTCCGCTTGTGAAGTTAATGTTGAATGAACCTTCCAGCTGTATGAAGCTTCTGTGCTCAGTACACTGCGCTATCAAAAAAAAAAAAACCCACTGAAACCGTTCCACTTGCAAAATACGTACCAAACAATCATGTTCTGCGCTTATAATAATCAAACTGCGTTCTCTTGTCGGCTCCTCGTTCCCAGTCGCGGGTACCTGTATGTATGGATGCGTCTCTATATTTTTAGCGTTAGTGATATATAATTACATCTAATCAGTTTATATTTAGATTATCGTAATTTTATGAATCGCAAATCCCCATATTCAGAGTGCCTGTACCTACCGCCGAAGTTTCACGAGCACAATCCTCCATTCTACATTTACGAATCCTAATTTATCTGATATTCAGGTTGTGTGTAATTACGAATTTAAATTTACACATTAACAACTTCAGCGCTGAATTTACGAATCATTATAGCTACGTGGGTAAAGTTACCTTGCCAGTAGCCGATGGGTTTTCACAAAAAAAATGTCACTGTTACCCATGAGCCCAATGGAGAGATGTGGGGACTGGGCTGAAAGCGGAATTAGATATACGTCGTAATTAATCGTACGTAAAAATTAATTGTAAATCCGAAATCAAAGTGAGATTTTTTTTTGTCATCTGTAGACCACTGGCAACGTAACTTTACCCACGTAACTAGTGATTTCCTCAGCGTAATAGCCTACTTAAGTTGCAAACTCAACTTGAATATCATAAACTCAGTACTATATTGTGATTTGTAATTATAAAATCAGAATTCTATTCGTGAAACTTAGGCGGCAGGCTCAGGCACACATTTTGCAACCCTGGATATGGGTTTGCGTTTCATAAAATTACGAGATCATCGTGACATTTAAGCACGATTACTTTAGAAGTAAATTCATCTATACCTACGCCTTGTCTGCTCTCCTAAAATGAGATTCTGTAAACCGAGAGTGCGACATATGCAGTGCGAACTAATGCGAATCTGTTGTCGTAAACGTCCCAGTAGAAGTGTACTTTACAAAATCTTTTCTAACAGGTCAAGTTACAGATATACAAATATGATTTCGGATTTGCAATTCATGTTTAACGTACAATTACTTTAGACATAAACCTATCTACATCGAATCGTTTTGCCTGTATACAATCCTATACTCTGAAGTGAATAAGTCTGGAGATCAGTAAAAATACTTCGTACTTCCACAATATTGATAAGGACATGTCACTACTTTCCATACCCAAACCTACTCCCTTGCCGTACTACACGTTTCAAAGCCAAAGACAGTTAATCGTACATTAGGTAGTATATGTAACAGGGCTAATTTTAGATCGCAGTTTCATCATGGTGTCGCTACAAGTGGGCGCCGCCCCGCAGGGCAGACGATGTATCTGATTTTCCATGTAGGACACACGGACGCTTCCTGAAAGGGAACTGGCCATTTCACTGTTTATGGGGGGATTTCTGAAATAATAAATCTTGCAGACATTGTACAGTACTGTGATTTATGCGTGTACTGCAAAAATACTGCAATAATTAGAGTTAACGTATGACCGCAAACATACGGATACAACAGCTGGATTGATGAAAACGAAAATAAACATGAAACATATCGGAGACACACCGATATTACAAACTTTAGGGTTGATGTTTTAAAATGGAGTTTCACCGTTACTAGGGAAAGGGGGACCAATCCAAAAACACCAGGCGAAATCAATAAATACAGATAAATCAGGTTACCTGACTCTTTCAAGTCGGTCAGATACCATAAGGTGAAGTAAAACGTGTTGGAGATTTAATGAATTGCAATTCTGTAGATACGTTCTATCATTTTAATATTTTTTTTCTGACTATGGGTAGCAATATGAAACCAATTTCTTCACCATCTACTTGTGAATAAAGTTAATATCACGTCACGTTTTATGATAGTACCATCTAGTGGTAACATTCAAAAACGCCTAAGAATTTCCAGCTCATTTTCTAAAACTTCGGTTTAGGTAAACGTGCTGTAAAGGAGGGCCATGTATGTGGTTCTGAGATTTTGCTACCCCCCAGAGCAACAGAAAGCAAATTCTGTCAATTCATTTATTTTCAGTAACACAGGGTACGGCCAGGGCTGCAAACTTTGGTCAGCTTGCTTGCGTGAGATTTTAAATTCGAGACAAGTCTGCACATACATTTACTAGCATGTAACGATTTTATCACCTTGTAAATATACAGTAGGGGGGGGGGGAGACAATAAATATAAAATTTCTCATGAGCAATTTTTGAAGGGGACACAAATAATACAGTCAAATTGTACTTATAAAGATATGTCCCCACAATGAAAAACTTTGCTTCTATCATTATTATTGTAGCATGGAGACTGCGTCATTATGGTTATTTTCAAAGGTTTTCTCAGGTTCAATGACAAAGCAGATTTTTCTTCAAAACTATTTATTGCATTGTTTGTTATGTTGTTT